ATTGATCCGATTACTTTTGTTTAATAAATGACAGATCTTACTATTACCCTGTATTTCAACTATTTTCTTGATGACTTTTCTGACATACACAAGACAACCCTAAATTCTAAATCCATACAGTCAAAATCATATTATTTGTTTTAGCCTTGAGTCAAAATAAAAACTTATAAATTAAGAAGATCTGAATAGCACAATAAATGGCACTTAAACTATAGGATATTTAACATTTGAGTATATATCAAACTTGAAGATAAGCTTAGGTATGTGCACAACAGATGACAGTCATGGTATGAACAAGATTTCTCAAACATAAAATATACCTGGTGCCTTAGACTGTTTTCACATCCAGGTATAATATTTTAAAAAACATGGAGTGTCAGGTGAGTTGAATTAGGTATTGAGGAAGGCTCCAAGAGTATGACACAACTGCCACAAGAAAAATATTGCATTCCAAAACAATACCTGTATTCACCTGTAATCTCCCCAAAACAACTAACCTCGTTACCACCTGTCTTCAATTTGCAATTAGCACCTGTCTGCCACTGTTGTGTATCCCAGGCCGAGCACCGAGCTGTCCGGTGAGTCAGACAGACCATGACATATACATGTCGGCAACAATACCTCCACAGGGTGTGGAACAGTCATTTCACAACCCAACCTGACCGGACACAACCAAAACAAACAATTGAGAAACTCAAGATGCAACTCACTTTGCTGGTTCTTGGGTCGTTTCACTCTCAGACAGATGGACTTTGATCGGATGCACTGTGGAGAGAAATGAGAGAGTGAGAGAGCATCCCGGCTGGGTTGAACACCGACAGGGGGACATGAGACAGGCAGGCCATTACCAAACTTTCTCACCTGGGTGCTCTCACAGTCATGTCATGGAGACTCACCTGGATAAAAGTGGAAGTCCAAACACACAAACAAAGTATCCCAACTCCTTTAAAAGTGTCCTATGGTGTCCATTTAGTATCCTGAGAGAGACCTAGTGGTAATAGGCTACTATCAAGTCCATGTTTCTGTCAACCCTCTCCTCCTTTGCTCTCTGTAATCACCATTCAGCTATGCCAGTAATTCAACATGGCGGACGCACAAAGTAGGTCAACCAGAGTGCCCCTTCCAGCATGCACAAAGGTAAACAGGGAGGGGGTGGGTCAAGCAATGCTGCCACGGCTCCCACTCTCTTGTTTGGGACAGGTAGTGGGGGTGGGGGAGAGGGAGGTAGCTGACATTATCACCAAAGAGAAAATTACCATCAGCCAATGGAAACACTGTAAATATTTACTTGCCTGTTCTAAATCTAAGCCTCTGCCTAAGGTCATAAAATCTTTTGATCTTTAGAATGGGCTAAAAGTCACTCACTTTTCTGGTTAAGTCTATGGACCGACCTTTGAAGCATGTAACTCTTTAAATTGTTAAAAAATTTAAGTTAAAGAGAAATTCCAGCTTGCATAGTGAAATGTGAGTAAGCCTGTCACAGTGCTAGGCAAGCTTTGCAGTTCCGGTGTCTATTGACGATATACACTGTAGGATAACATATTGACTTGTAGCAGATGTTGCATTGTAATATATTCTCTGAGTCAATATATTTAACAAATAAAAATCTGGTGTTGTGCAACTCCTGACCACACAATCAAAATAAAATAATCCATAACATTTGTCAATTTATTCTATAATGTTTACTTAAAAAATTCTAAAAATCAAATATTTCACAAAGATTATTTTCAATCTGTTATCATCACAAAATAATAACAGCTTAAATATATTCATTAACAGGTGTTATTTCTGTGATTGCTTCATAAACGGTTATATGATATACCAAATATTATGTTAAGAACCCTGAGAAATGGTTCAGGCCCGATGAGGGAAATAGCACCCTGTAAATACTTGATTCATAGTGCCAGCATTAACACATTCCTCTAGTGAATCACAAAGCTACACTCTCTGTGAGCTGACATGCCTTGCTGGATGAAGCAGGGTAATTAACTTAACCCTTTCTGAGCAGCTTAACTCTCAGCATCTTCAGCAACATGACCACACCTGTTCTAGTCAATTAACCTCTTTGGAAAAAAGTATTGTACCTGTAATAACTTGTGTATAAAGACTGCACACAACAAGTCTATAGATATTTATTTACCTGATGGAGGAGTAAGCATTATTATATTCTCCGAAACGTTGTGTTCCTCATAATAAAGAAGTTGACATCCATACAAATGCTCTTCCTTATGTGTATCACTTCTAAATGCCTTTCAATGACTTAAGTCTATAGATATTGATTTCAAGATATATTTTTATATTTTCATATATTTTGTCTTTATTAAGTATGAAATGTTGATGAAAATACTAACAAACCAATAACTTATGTCTTCTTAAAAATGACCTAATTTATTTGTTTTTGTGAAGAAACATTTGAGATATAAAATATTGCACCTTAAAGAAAGTTATTAATTGATTGTTTTACCATCTACCTGTCTATCTGACCCACCTACCATCTACCTGTCCATCTGACGTAGCTGTTCACCCATCTAACTTCTACCTATCTGACCCACCTACCACTACCTGTCAATCCCCCTCCCTATGTTCTACCTGTCTATCTGACCAAACTACCACCTACCAGTCTATCTGATCCTACCACCTACCTGTCTATCTGATCCTACTACCTACCTGTCTATCTGATCCACCTACCTGTCTATCTGATCCTACCACCTACCTGTCTATCTGATCCTACCACCTACCAGTCTATCTGATCCACCTACCACCTACCTGTCTATCTGATCCTACTACCTTCCTGTCTATCTGATCCACCTACCTGTCTATCTGATCCTACCACCTACCTGTCTATCTGATCCACCTACCTGTCTATCTGATCCTACTACCTACCTGTCTATCTGATCCTACCACCTACCAGTCTATCTGATCCACCTACAACCTACCTGTCTATCTGATCCTACCACCTACCTGTCTATCTGATCCACCTACCTGTCTATCTGATCCTACCACCTACCTGTCTATCTGATCCACCTACCTGTCTATCTGATCCTACCACCTACCTGTGTATCTGACCCACCTACCTGTCTATCTGATCCTACCATCTACCTGTCTATCTGATCCACCTACCTGTCTATCTGATCCTACCACCTACCAGTCTATCTGATCCACCTACCACCTACCTGTCTATCTGACCCACCTACCAGTCTATCTGATCCTCCTACCTAACTGTCCATCTGATCCACCTACCTGTCTATCTGACCCACCTACCACCTACCTGTCTATCTGATCCACCTACCATCTACCTGTTTATCTGATCCACCTACCACCTACCTGTCTATCTGATCCACCTACCTGTCCATCTGATCCACCTACCTGTCCATCTGATCCACCTACCTGTCCATCTGATCCACCTACCACCTACCAGTCTATCTGATCCACCTACCAGTCTATCTGATCCACCTACCACCTACCTGTCCATCTGATCCACCTACCACCTACCTGTCCATCTGATCCACCTACCTGTCCATCTGATCCACCTACCTGTCTATCTGATCCACCTACCACCTACCTGTCTATCTGATCCACCTACCTGTCTATCTGATCCACCTACCTGTCTATCTGATCCACCTACCAGTCTATCTGATCCACCTACCACCTACCTGTCTATCTGATCCACCTACCACCTACCTGTCTATCTGATCCACCTACCTGTCTATCTGATCCACCTACCTGTCCATCTGATCAACTTACCACCTACCTGTCCATCTGATCCACCTACCACCTACCTGTCCATCTGATCCACCTACCACCTTCCTGTCTATCTGACCCACCTACCACCTACCTGTCTATCTGATCCACCTACCATCTACCTGTTTATCTGATCCACCTACCACCTACCTGTCTATCTGATCCACCTACCACCTACCTGTCCATCTGATCCACCTACCTGTCCATCTGACCCACCTACCACCTACCTGTCCATCTGACCCACCTACCTGTCCATCTGACCCACCTACCTGTCCATCTGATCCACCTACCTGTCTATCTGACCCACCTACCACCTACCTGTCCATCTGACCCACCTACCTGTCCATCTGATCCACCTACCTGTCCATCTGACCCACCTACCACCTACCTGTCTATCTGATCCACCTACCTGTCCATCTGATCCACATACCTGTCCATCTGATCCACCTACCTGTCCATCTGATCCACCTACCACCTACCAGTCTATCTGATCCACCTACCACCTACCTGTCTATCTGATCCACCTACCACCTACCTGTCTATCTGATCCACCTACCTGTCCATCTGATCCACTTACCACCTACCTGTCTATCTGATCCACCTACCACCTACCTGTCCATCTGATCCACCTACCACCTTCCTGTCTATCTGACCCACCTACCACCTACCTGTCTATCTGATCCACCTACCTGTCTATCTGATCCACCTACCTGTCCATCTGATCCACATACCTGTCCATCTGATCCACCTACCTGTCCATCTGATCCACCTACCACCTACCTGTCTATCTGATCCACCTACCACCTACCTGTCTATCTGATCCACCTACCTGTCCATCTGATCAACTTACCACATACCTGTCCATCTGATCCACCTACCACCTACCTGTCCATCTGATCCACCTACCACCTTCCTGTCTATCTGACCCACCTACCACCTACCTGTCTATCTGATCCACCTACCTGTCTATCTGATCCACCTACCATCTACCTGTTTATCTGATCCACCTACCACCTACCTGTCTATCTGATCCACCTACCTGTCTATCTGATCCACCTACCACCTACCTGTCCATCTGATCCACCTACCACCTACCTGTCCATCTGACCCACCTTCCACCTACCTGTCCATCTGACCCACCTACCACCTACCTGTCCATCTGACCCACCTACCACCTACCTGTCCATCTGACCCACCTTCCACCTACCTGTCCATCTGACCCACCTACCACCTACCTGTCCATCTGATCCACCTACCACCTACCTGTCCATCTGACCCACCTACCACCTACCTGTCCATCTGACCCACCTACCACCTACCTGTCCATCTGACCCACCTACCTGTCCATCTGATCCACCTACCTGTCCATCTGATCCACCTACCTGTCCATCTGACCCACCTACCACCTACCTGTCCATCTGATCCACCTACCTGTCCATCTGATCCACCTACCTGTCCATCTGATCCACCTACCTGTCCATCTGATCCACCTACCTGTCTATCTGATCCACCTACCACCTACCTGTCCATCTGATCCACCTACCACTTACCTGTCCATCTGATCCACTTACCACCTACCTGTCTATCTGATCCGGCTGTTCACCCACTTACCATCTGCCTGTCCTTCTGCCCCCCACCCCCTGTCCAACCATCTACCTGTCAATTTCACCCACCTACCATATACCAGTCTATTTGTCCCACCTACCTGTCCATCTGATCCACCTACCTGTCCATCTGATCCACCTACCACCTACCAGTCTATCTGATCCACCTACCACCTACCTGTCTATCTGATCCACCTACCACCTACCTGTCTATCTGATCCACCTACCTGTCCATCTGATCCACTTACCACCTACCTGTCTATCTGATCCACCTACCACCTACCTGTCCATCTGATCCACCTACCACCTTCCTGTCTATCTGACCCACCTACCACCTACCTGTCTATCTGATCCACCTACCTGTCTATCTGATCCACCTACCTGTCCATCTGATCCACATACCTGTCCATCTGATCCACCTACCTGTCTATCTGATCCACCTACCTGTCCATCTGATCCACCTACCACCTACCTGTCTATCTGATCCACCTACCACCTACCTGTCTATCTGATCCACCTACCTGTCCATCTGATCAACTTACCACATACCTGTCCATCTGATCCACCTACCACCTACCTGTCCATCTGATCCACCTACCACCTTCCTGTCTATCTGACCCACCTACCACCTACCTGTCTATCTGATCCACCTACCTGTCTATCTGATCCACCTACCATCTACCTGTTTATCTGATCCACCTACCACCTACCTGTCTATCTGATCCACCTACCTGTCTATCTGATCCACCTACCACCTACCTGTCCATCTGATCCACCTACCTGTCCATCTGACCCACCTACCACCTACCTGTCCATCTGACCCACCTACCTGTCCATCTGATCCACCTACCTGTCCATCTGATCCACCTACCTGTCCATCTGATCCACCTACCTGTCCATCTGACCCACCTACCACCTACCTGTCCATCTGATCCACCTACCTGTCCATCTGATCCACCTACCTGTCCATCTGATCCACCTACCTGTCCATCTGATCCACCTACCTGTCTATCTGATCCACCTACCACCTACCTGTCCATCTGATCCACCTACCACTTACCTGTCCATCTGATCCACTTACCACCTACCTGTCTATCTGATCCGGCTGTTCACCCACTTACCATCTGCCTGTCCTTCTGCCCCCCACCCCCTGTCCAACCATCTTCCTGTCAATTTCACCCACCTACCATATACCAGTCTATTTGTCCCACCTACCTGTCTATCTGACCCACCTACCTGTCTATCTGAAAAACCTGTTCCCCACCTACCATCTACCTGATCTACACACCCGCCTATTTCCCCCCTGCCACAAATCCATTGATGACCACAAACCTCTCTCATCTATCTACCCACCTACAAAACCCATCTTCCATCTACCCCAACTACCAATCCACCCGTCCAAACACCTGTCACCTACTCCACCTACCCACAACTTGCTATTTACCCCACATGCCACCTACCCCCCACCTCCCAAATATCCACACACCTACAATCTCCCTACCTACCCATTCATCCACCCACCTCATCACCTCCCTTCCACGCATCCCCCGACCCACCTGTTGGATGAATGCGATGATCTTCATGTGGCTACAGTTTACCAGTCTTGCTGCTGACCTCAACAATCTATCCACCCACCTACAGCACATATCTACCCAACCTACCATCCGATCTGCCCGACCCAACTGGTGGATGAATGTAGTGATCTCCATGGGGCAACAGTTCTCCACATTCTTGCTGTTGACCTCAACAATCTATCCACCCACCTACAGCACATATCTACCCCACCTACCATCCGATCTCCCCGACCCACCTGGTGGATGAATGCGATGATCTCCGTGTGGCAACAGTTTACCAGTCTTGCTGTTGACCTCAACAATCTATCCACCCACCTCCCCCACATATCTACCCAACCTACCATCCGATCTGCCCGACCCAACTGGTGGATGAATGTAATGATCTCCATGGGGCAACAGTTCTCCACATTCTTGCTGTTGACCTCAACAATCTATCCACCCACCTACCGCACAGATCTACCCCAGCTACCATCCGAACTCCCCGACCCACCTGGTGGATGAATGCGATGACCTCCGTGTGGCTACAGTTCTCCACATTCTTGCTGTTGACCTCGATGATCTCATCCCCAACCTCCAGCTCTGCTCGGTCTGCTGGGGAACCTGCAACATGGACACTGTCAAACTTAAACAGAATGTTAGATTATCACACATGAAATCCTACAGGAGAGTGAACACAACTAGCTTAGATTCATCGAGCTCTGTCTCACACAAAATTAACCTCTGCGAAAGTGTTCATTAAGCTAAACATGTGTAACATAGTAGCAGACACATTAGAACTCAAATAAACACTTGTGTCGGCAGGGTCAGAGGAGTTACTTCCCTTGACTACCATCTTTTCTATGAACTTATGAGTGAGTGAGTGAGTACGGTTTTACGCCGCTTTTAGCAATATTCCAGCAATATCCCGGCGGGGGACACCAGAAATGGGCTTCACACATTGTACCCATGTCGGGAATTGAACCCGGGTCTTCGGCGTGACGAGCGAATGCTTTAACCACTAGGCTACCCGACCGCCCCTATCAACTTATGAGCTGGCCTGGGCTTTTCATATGTCACCTTAACCACTAGGCAATGTAGTATCCAGCTAGCCTGTATTAAAATATACAAGATAGCTACGCGATAAATCGCAAAGAACAATGAAGAATGAAGAGTGATTTATTTCACGATAGAATATTGTTCTATCATTACTTAATTTCTGGAGATTTGAGACAAGCACTCTCAGCTTGATGATGTCGTAAATTGGACGTTTTCGTAGAGGGAAGTGTCTAGTCCCCATAGACATAGCTGGGCAGCGTAGATAAGCGCAATGGCAGAACGATCGCATCCTAAAGAGGGAGAGGTGTGACAGGAGGTATTGGGAGAAAAAGTAATCAACATAAAAGTTGTGAGAATATCTGGGAAATACCAAACTTAACCCCCCTCAGAGCAAGCCTGTCTTTGAATCTATACAATGGGAGAAGTACGATAAATTGAGAGCCAGTCTATAGTAGAATCTATACAAAGAAACAAGCCCAAGGTATCAAGAGCTATCCTGTATTAGAATCTATACAAAGAAACACGAGAGAAGTATTTAAGGCAAGCCTTTATTACAATCTATGTGTGTGAATGTGAGTGTGAGTGTGAGTGTGAGTGTGAGTGTGAGTGTGTGTGTGTGTGTGTGTGTGCTCCTTGTACTAGTCCGGATTAATGCCAGTTTTACATGGATTCTTCACTCACAGTATACTGACTCTGTGCCGACCAGTCCTTGTTTCATATCCCTAATGCTGAGCGACAGGCAGTGAAACAAAAAGTACCATCTTATAACATGACATGGCTGGGGATCGAATCCCTACATTCTGCTCTCTGAACAGACACTCTATCCACTAGACCACAAAGGCAGTCTACCCATTGAAAGAACTGATGTGAGAGACCTTTCCAAAGCACCCTTAAAATCTCTCCCTCCTCCCTGGGTAAGTGGGAAGCTTGGGTTTATTGATCTCAGCCAATCCTCTATGTAACCGGAGACAGAGTTAATTTCTTTCAAAGATTACACCAATCAAGATCAGACATCGACACTCACCATGAGGAAACACATGAGATGAAATTCTAACAAGTCAACAAAATGCAATATCTTGTCTTAATGATTTGAGGCAGCGGCAAAAGTCATATAATGTTTATTTTCCCAGTAGGGGCATTTCACAACATTGTGTATGCATACACCAGAGAAAATACAGATTAAAGGTGCTGTCATGATAAATCACTGAATAATGAACTCTGCTGATGTGAAATGAAAATGCTTACAAGAACGGAAACAGGAACACCTGGTGTCTACGCTGATTTTCCGTCATCCATTCACAAAATTTCCAAACAAATTTGCCTTTGATGCCCAATAAAGTCTGCTTCGGCAGATAATTGAAACGGATTATTCTCTGGTGTTGACTTCATGAATTTTCCTGACAATTTGGAGTCTGTTACATAGCAGTATAGTTGTTGCTGTATAGTTGTTGCTATGATACAAACCAGGGTATAAATTCCTATAGCCAATACTATTTCATTTCCATGAAAGCAACTTGATACGACACTGTAGAAAAGTTCATACATTGTATATACTGTCACCACATGGTATAGTGTATTGCTGTATGAGACAGTGCTCATCCACCCTCCTTCATTGGGACAATCATATGATGCAGTCTTTCACAATATCACCTAAACCTCATCTTACATGCATTCCTGCAAAATCAGCAAAGAAAGAGTGAACTATATACTTAACGCTTAAACTCTTAACTCAATTCAGTATTATTAATCGATGAATATTTTTTTATTTTTTTGTTTCATTTGTGTCTGTTGTTATCACTGATGTTTGCTCAAATGCTGGTAATGATTTTGGAATAAGACCCCAAAAACAATTTGGACAAATTCAAACGTTTAACTCCAAAGATCGATATATTAACATTGGTATTCCATTAGGAAGAGGAAGAAATCTAAATCAAATCAGGGTCAATTCATGTCTAACAATCTCTGGACAGATCATTCGTAATTACTCTTATCTCGTTGACTGTTCTCTAAGTGTTGACAGCAAATGGTCCTAGTTCTGATACGGTAAACACATGGCAAACCAACTGTGAGGCTAAATTTGGGTTTCCATAATGTAGGTATCTTAGTATGTTTATTCGTTTGTCTTTTTAGTGGCCTGTACAGAATCGAGTGGACCAAACAATCCAGTGATTGACATAATGAGCAATGATCTACGCTGTCAGGGTTACGATGAAACACAGAGCCTGAACCCTCGATAAAAAAAAGTTGCCTTATACAACAAGCATAGATTGCAGGTCAAGTTATATTGAGACTTTGTGCAATATACAATGGCTGTAATGCCACACTCAGCAATATTCCAGCTATATGACGGCAGTCTGTAAATAATCGAGTCTGGA